ATGCTCTAAGTCAGGGAGAAGGAGGCACTTGCCTTGGCCAGCACATTAAGAAGGCAGCAAAATCACTATGACAGCACTGTCTGTGCCGGTGCCGTGGCAGGTTGGCTCCTTCTGCTCCAGAAGAGGGAAAACTTGGGCTGTAATTCTTCTCTTTCACCATCCCTGACCTCAGCTCTCATTTTACACTGGCAGGAGCAGAAAGACCAGCCTGCATCCTAATCCCTTCCTTCCTCTTCCCTTCCCTGTGCTTCTGCCCAGCCTACAGCTCCTTATCCTCAGGTAGCAAAGCTTGGTTTGCAGGGCCAGGGCTGAGACAGCATCTGCCCCTACTCCTGTTCAGGTGTTCAGGGCTGGGGTGGTGTTGGTGAGCATTCCAGTGCCTCTGCATCTCTATGTGCAGAAAGGGGTCAATCTGTCCTCCTCATTTCTGCTAGTGGTGTGAATCTTAAGGACGTTCTTATTCCAAAATGTGTCATTAAGGAATTAAATCTTGTTGGAAGTCCCAGATGTGCTCACAAGTCATTTTTGTGCTTTTGAAAGTAGTGCCATAATGTATTAGTATTTTTAGATCACTTGAATATTTTCAGCTGGAGGAAAATCTTTTATTTTCTTTGTTAATTGTGCTATGAATAGATCTTAGGCTACTGAGGAGAAATGAGTCGATATGTTGAAATGGTGATCCCTCGTGAGTTCAGGTGTACACCTGGCTCCTCTGAATTGCTTACCGAGCTGGGCTGCTGGAGCAGTGACAGCTTCCACCAGCTGTGGATCTGTCCCAAAGTTTCCTGGGCTTTTTACAAAGACATGGCAAGCTGCCACTGCTCCCAGCTCCTTTGGGCTGTGGATTAGTACCACAGTTTAGACCCTGATCTTTCAGTATGAATCAAGGTGGGCCGCTGCGCTGTTCAAATTATCAGTAAAGAAACTTTAGAGCATCGTCATCACTCATTAGCTGATTTCACTCCTTGAGATACAGCAAGCAAAAGCTGTGCATGTAATAATCACAAATGAAAGGTGGAGGGAATCAACCAGAGGGAAAATGTTGGAAGATATTATTAACATTTGGAAAAGATTTTCTAAATGATCGACTTGACCCTTTTCTGGGGTGAATTTGCATACCCAAGCTATCTGCGAGAGAGCTGCAGTGGAGTCCTGTGTCTGGACCTCGGCACACTGGCTTTAAGGTTTTCAAGAAGGGATTGGTGCATGGGAAAGACAAGGTGGCCGAGTCTCCATTACAGCTCAGTCTTAGGCATCTGCAGTGGGATTGCCGACGAGTAACACGTATTATAGACATAAAATGCTAATCACGAGGTGAACCCGGCTCCATCAATAGGCAGAATAAGCAAAGGAGAAGGAATTATCAGGGGTAGAGGATTTAAATACCTTTGTGTGGGTAAATTATCAACTCATTTCTTATAGCTTTTCACTGGCCAAAGAGAGAATATCTCTGGAGACATTTTACTGAAGGCAGAAACCCAATTAGAGTAAGATTGTTACACAACTAATAAAGTGTTTTCAGATAGAGAATTATTTTTAGTGCTGTAGAAATATTAAAGCATTAGAGCAAAACATGTAAAAGCAGAGAAGAGCACAGTTGAGGTTTTTTATGGCCTTTAGGCTCCTAGATCACTCATTTTTGAGGATTGGTTGGTGTTTACAGCACGAGCTGGCTTTCCCCATTGCGTTTGCCCATGCACAATGACACCAATGCCAAATCTTACTTCTTTTCAGAGCTAATGCCATTCTGGATACGCTAGAAACTCTTGCTGTGGGAAACGGGGAGGTGCATGCGTTCAGTGGCATACTCTGGTTCCTTGCCTCCTTCAGCGGGGTGAAAATTTACAGGGGTCAAAAAACCTCTGGCCCCGATGCCTTTATGTTAAACTAACAACCAAGGATGCTAAGAAGTTCATGCAGTGTGGCTGGGAAGTGATGCATAACTGCTTCTGCATTAAAAAGAGCCATTAGTTAGCAAGATGCAGTCATTATGAACTGTTTTCATAAGTGTTTAATAATTGCAGATATTTGCCATGTGGCTTTAAGTTCAAGATTATCCTCCATCCCTTTTTCCTACATGCTGTAGTTCATTTAGGTGGTCTAAATCCTTAGGATCTCCTCCTTTAGACAGAAGCAAACCCTTTCAGTGTGACCCTGCTTGGAAGTTAGGGACACAGCGGAGCGAGTCCCTGAGAGCACAGAGGACCTCAGCGAAGATTGAAGGTGCTCAGCTGCTCCTCATTCACCGAGCCTGTCTGATGCACAGGTTGGGTGCCAGTCTGAAACATGAACTTCTCCAGTGACAGTGCTGAAACCGTGAAAGAGCCTGCATTTGGCCATGGTGTTGCTTCTCCCCAGTGCTGTCAACACCAAGACTCAGGTTGCGACAGCAAAGCAGAAAGCTGCTGCTTCAGTGATTATTGCTCAGACGTTGATGTACCCAACCATCTCTCCCTCCTCATCTCCCCTCAGCACCCTTTCTGCTGTATCTAATAATTGTGTTTCTTTATAAACAGTAATTTAGGACAATTAGGAACAATAGCATAGTTAAACCTTTAAAAGGTTATCTCGCAATGTCATTTTCTTGACTAATGTGTTCCTGCTGCCATGTCGTTTGTGAATAGACATGTGTTAGCCAGCTAGTGTGCTTCATCTGTGGTGACTTTGATTTATTTGCTCTGTAAATTGGGACCGAAGCAATAATGGAAAGTGACATTAATTGTTTAACAGAGTCCTCTTTGTCACATCCTGTGCTTTCTCTGGGGTGTTTGAATGTTGAAACTTGTACAAAACTAATTGAAATTGCTGTGATGAGGACCGGAGTCCACTCAACTTTCTGTTCTTGAATGTCAGCGCACTTGAGTGTCTACTTAAAGCATGAGAGCCAAGCAGCTAACAGCAAATATCAGGGTTTCTTCTGGCATGCTATTATTAAAGAAGGCATTCCCCGTTAGAAATAGTAACACTTCCAGCTTCGTTGTCAGCTTCACAAGCTGCAAGGCTCAGTAAGGGGGGGCGGTGGTGCGCCCCACCAGCTAGACTTGTGAGAGTAGTTCCTGGGGCTGCGGGGCTGGGGGGCAGGCAGCCAGGCCCCCCCGCGGCCATCCACCATTCATCCCACCACCTGCGAGGGGCTTGAAATGCCGCTGGAAAAGTCATCACTTCGTTACATTGCAAAGCGCTTTTTCGCCTGATAACACCTTTTCGTACTTTCTGGAAGTGACACTGTAATTTTCCTCTTTGCCTCTCAAAAAGTGGCTGTGAAAACCTGCATTTGGAGCACGGTTTTATTCACAAGGTGGCTTCCTTCTGCTTATTTCCACCTTCTGCACACTGAATTATCACGGCACTGTGCATGTGTCTGCTTGGTATGGTGGGAATCACCAGATACTGGAACTTAGACTCTTTTCCTCAGTGTCCAAGCCCCTTTTGGCCTTTTAAGTGAACGCATTAGCTCTGCCTGAGTGTTTATTTGTTTCTTGGGGATGATGCCGTAAGCACCAGAACAGTCTGTGCTCTGCCGTAGCTTTCTAGTTTGAAGACAGAGCTTTTCTGTAAGCAGCCTTGAGGTGTGATTTGGCAGAGAAGCCTGGCAGGAGCAATTGTCTGTGTGGTTTATGAGCATCTCTGTTCGGAGTCTGGTAGATACAGTATTACTGAAAAAAGTCATGCTAAGGGGATACCCAGTTTCACCTGATTTTTATTTATTTATTTATTTATTTTCTGAGGTGTTGCTGGCAATGTTTTGTTGTTGACTTCTTTAACTTTCGGTTTGGGGTTTTATTTTCCCCCCAAAGGGAGAGCTTACTGGTGTATTCCTTGCTAGTTCACTTTTAAACTATGAGACTTGAACTCAGCTGAAATCTCTTCTCAGTGTGAACCTGGAATGTGATGCACAACTCTGAAGCTGGTGGAAAAACTCCGAGTTTGATATCCCTGGAATAAGTGAAAGGCTTTTCATTTGTTTTAATAGCACTAGAATCAGCCTAGGAATCCTAGATAATTGATCTGTCAAGATCAATTTCCAATCTTTCTCAAAAATAAACATAATGATTTTTACACAATTCTATTCTTCAGAACTCTCAGTACTCCAAAAATCCGTACCTTAATATACAGTAGGGACTATATTTCATTAAAAAATCAGAAGGCATTTAAATTTACTCAATTTGACAAAAAGAAGTCTTGTTGCTGAAATAAGATATCTAATATAAATTAACATTACAGCCACATCTGATTAGGAATTAATCTACTTTTTATAATTGTGGTCTGAATTAGATAAATGCATACAATAGTCGCATTGAGCACTCAAACGACGTAACTCGAAAGGACAACTTCAAAGGCAACCTGCTTAATACATTTCCTTGAAAGAAACCCAAAGAGCCTGCCATTTACCGTATGAGTCCAGATGGCTGGTCTTATGCCCAAATGCTCAGGAATGGGAAGGGTTTTGCTTGGCTTTGGAGCAGGGATTTCCAGAAGTACGGAAGAGAAAACCTTTCTCTCTACACCAGGCTGCATGTGTGAACAAGGTTTTCCAAATTTCACTGGTGATTCATTTTGGTCTTCTGATTAGCTGTCTTACTCTCTGATTCTTGTAATTTTGTCACGTCAATTAGCTGATGTTCAGCGCTGAAAAGAGAAAGAAAGAGACAGCCTGGGCTGACACCATCATTAGGTGTCAGCAGCTTAGGCACATCCTGTAATACAATCCCTGGGTGATTACTTCTCATTGTTAACACCAGATAAAAAAAAAAAAAAAAAAAGAATTGTGGAAGAAAAGTAAACTAGAGCAATGCAGTGCTAGTGCAAAGATATTTCTCTTGAACACAGAGATGTGTAATTTTATTGCACTTAATTACGTCTTCTGAGACACTGTTGCAGGCTGCTGTTTCAAGGGCTGGTTTAACTGTGTTTTGACTGCTCTTCCACATACAAAGGCATTGTTTTGTTCTTTTTCTCTTCTCACCTGGTTCTGCTTTTTGTTTTGCCCCTTCCCACAGAAGATAGATGAAGAAAGCGAGGCAAACTTGCTAGCCGTTCTCACTGAAACACTGGACAGCATCCCTGTGGATGAGGATGGATTGCCTTCATTTGATGCACTGACAGATGGAGATGTGACCAACGAAAATGCTACTAGCCCTTCACCGATGCCCGACGGCACCCCTCCAACTCAGGAGGCAGAAGAGCCGTCTCTAGTAAGAACCCTTCCTACTGTTTAACAGGAATTGGATGTGCCTCTGGCTACCCGCTGCATGGGTATGATGTAGTCACAGTAAGGTCTGGACTTTTCATTTAGACTGGAAAGGAAAATCAAGTAAAGAACTGAAAATTAAGCAGGGAAAAACCCCCACCAAATAGCCATAGGATGACTGATAAGGCAATCTATTAAAAAGTGTGTTGAAGAGATTGATTTTGAGATTCTTGTGCTAATGGCTGACACTTTTGCTTATCATTCTGTTCAAATAAGTCTGGGTAATGGTTTTGAATTCATATTTCATTTCTCGGGGCTCTTTTTGTATGTATGTTTAGACGTCACTTTTGGTGATCTGTAAAGAAAGGCCCATTGAGTCTGGCGGGATGTGGGGCTAATTTTGTGCCTTTAACATTGATTTGACCAGTAAGCACCAGCTCAGTGCTAATCAGGGCAAACCAGAACCTTGGGTGAGGATGTGGGTGAAACCTTATGTGCATTTTGCTCAGTAAAACCAGTTTGAGATGTGATTCTGTTTCTGCTGAAAGCCCCTTATCACTGGCTTCTGTGGAAAAGCAGAGCCAAATACCTGCATCTTGACGCTGTATCCGTTAGTCTGTTAAAGTTAATGTCTCGGTGTAGATCAGAGGCCTCTTCTGTCAAACAGATGACTGAGAATTTCATTTTGCCATGGATTCAGAAATCCAAGAACCCTGTCATTTCTGCTTGCCCCGCCGTATACTGCAGTAAAGGAGCAGAAGTATGCTGCCAAGCCAGAAGAAAACGAAATCTGTTTGCTCTGGGGAATATTGAGCCCTTCTTTCTGTTTTATTGTACTTTGCTTGCTGAAATTGGTGTAGATAACTAAGTAAATATGCAAAAATGTAGATAGGTCATTTTAATCCATAAAGATGCGTAACTTTACTCTTTTTCCTTCCACCTCCCTTTCCCTTATGTGTTTGTAGCTTAAGAAGCTCTTGCTGGCTCCAGCCAACACTCAGCTAAATTACAATGAATGCAGTGGTCTCAGCACACAAAACCATGCAAACACTAATCACAGGATCAGAACAAGCCCTGTGGTTGTTAAGGTACAAACTTAATCTTTATAATAAGGAAAAAAAAAAAAGAAATAAAAAGTGTTACAAGGTCTTTCATGCTTTCAGCAACCAAGCAAGAGGTAGATCTACATGTATTGTATTAATCTGCCTACTATCCTGCAACTGCTTTAAGAAAAAAAAAAAGAACAGATTATAGAATGGGTTCCAGAAAATCACCTGAGCTCCTTTATGCTCTGAATATTTCATTTATGCTTTTTTTTCTTGGCAGAGTTCAGTTGTAGTCCTACCGTCTGTTACTCTTGCCTACTTTATTGATACACAGAGTAGTAGGGGGTACGATAAAATTTGCTGATGGGCTGGTGTTGTTTATGAGTGACTCCAGGATGCGGGACTGCCATTTTGCCAGCTGTCTGAGCTAAGAAAAATGACACTGGATTCTTGGCAAAAGATGTATATCAGCCATTAATTGGATAGAATGGGGGCTCTGGCATAATTCTGTTAGCAGGCAGTATTAAACAATGTTTGTCTTGCCGTTCACTGTAACTGAAAACGGAGCGTTTAGGGGTACTTAAGAGAGTTGTGAATACTGGGCTCAAGCAATCAGCAGCAAATTAAGGTTTAAACCAGCTTATTTTTTTGTTCACAGTAAAGGCGCTGTAGGGTCTTGTTAGTTACATGTTGCTGAGTAGGAACATTGAAATGTAGGAGAAATGAAATAAAAAGCTGCATAAATGTCATTTAGGAATTTTAAATGTAATTTTCTTTCCTTGTTCTGCAAACAATTATTCACAGCTCATAGATCTAGTACACTTAGACTGAACACTTCATTGAAAGTCTCATCTCTTCAGAAAACCTATATCCATTCTGATAAGGTTCAGCTCACTAATTTTAGCTTTTTTTATTTTATTTTATTTTATTATGCCCTGTTTTTAAGACTGAGAATTCATGGAGCAATAAAGCAAAGAGCATTTGTCAACAGCAAAAGCCTCAAAGACGTCCCTGCTCTGAACTTCTCAAATATCTGACTACGAACGATGACCCTCCTCAGACCAAACCAGCAGAGAACAGGAACAGCAGCAAAGAGAAATGCACCTCCAAAAGGAAGCCCCATCTGCAGTCTCAAACAAATCATCTGCAAGGTAGGTGTGGGACTGCAGAGCACAGCTTTGGTACCAGCAGTAACGCAGGGAAGCTGAAATACCGCGGTTGTGAATACCCTCGATACCTCTTCTGTTCCCTGGATTAGTATTGTAAATCCAGCATCTCTTCTGTGTAGGGAGAATTTTAAAACAGTATAATGAAGTTAGAATTAGTTAGCTAGATTTAGCTTTTAAACAATTTTAATCCTGTCTCTATTGCCTCCAGCGTCAGAAAAAGAATCTCAGGGAAAAAAAAAAGTTTAACAAATACCACATGTTAATATACCAAGCTGGCTGCAGATACTTAGTCACAGAGTACTGTACCACTAAGAAATCATTATACCCCTAAACAAGCTGGGCAGGCCAGTTCATTAGTGAGCTGCTTTCTTTTTTGCTAGCGTAAAACTGAAGGCATTGTTAACCTGCCACATAGTCCTTAAGAGACAATAAATAGTGCTCTCACTGCTACAGAGAAAGCAATAAATGTGTCATTCCTGTTAAAGCTGGAATGCCAGTTTGTAATTTTATTTTGTAAATAGTTGAAACTTTAGCTGCCATCCTGGTCTTTCTCTCTCTTTTTAGATTCTTTATGGCCAAAACTGAACACTTGTGTTGACTTCTAGTATCCCCCGCTGCATAAAGAACTGGTCTGTTTACAAGTAGCTTCTATGGCAGAAATGCAAGAACTTACAGCCCCCTCTCTCGCTTTCTCTCCCCCTCTTCCCCTGCCTGTTTTCCCAAGATAAAGGAAAACTGTAAAAGGTTATGAGCCCAAAGGGAGCTTTTCTTAAAGTTACTGTTCCTTTAAAATACATCTATGTATCTATATTGGCCTGGCATCTAGAAGGTCAGTTGCCTGTCTCAGTCACGTCAGTGCAAATCCTGGATGACTCCACTAAAGTCAATGGAAGTTATCTGGCTGCAACAGAGATCAGGATATGACCCTAAATGTGGTGTTCTGGTATTTTTAAAGCAACAGTTGTAAACTGTATGCTTCTTTTCTTCTTTTCCCCTCCTCCCTTCATGCATTTTCAGCCCCCATCAAATCTAATTTTTCATTCTTCACTAGGAAATACAAGCAAACTTAATAAAAATAATCCCTTCCCGCCACTAAATACCCTTCTCGCAGCTGTACCTTCTGACATCCTAAGTATAGTTTTCCCCATTATAGTCTCAAATTCTCTGAACAATGTTTCTTGTAAGAAAGAAATCCAACTGCCCCTAGAGCTTCTTGGATGCCAACTGCCACACCTTCTGGATGGCTTCAGCAGTCTGCTTCACAGCAAAATCCAGACTGAACTGCACGTGTAAAACCTGGGTCTCTTACTGTGATGGTACTGAAACACAGACCTGCCAGAAGTTACAGGGGGCTTTATTAACACTGGTGGCTGTTAAGGGGATATGTGATAAGAGATATCATGTATAACATGCTATATGGACACGTATGTTATACACATCCGTAGATATATGCGCACACACACATAAATACAGGCTATAAAACCTTCCTATTCAGATTCAGAGCTGCATTTTTTTTCCCCAGCTGAGGCAATTGTGTAGATTCAGTGCAAAGAAGCAGGGCACATTGGGTTGTGGAAACAGCATAGAAAGAGAGGTTAGGAAAGTCCAGAGGGAGGTGTAGCTAACTTACCAGTGTTTAACAGATGTCTGTGACTTTGGTGATATTGCAGGTGAAATTGCAGGCAGAGAGAAATTACTCTCTTCTTTAATTCCTGCAGTTTAATTTACAGGCTTCTGAAATGTTGTTTTTTCATCAAATTTGCCTCATACACCAATATATGACTTCAATATCAATGGATTTGCATATAATACAAATACAAGAATATAATGCTTTCAGCTTGGACAGTCAATTCATGCAGAATCAACCTTGCAAATTTAACTGATATTTGCAGACCTGCAGTCATTTGTTCATACATTTAATCAAAGGTACAGGAAATTGGCTCCTTCTGTTTTAAAAAATAATCAGGGTCCGATATTTTCTTTCAAAGTTAGGGAAAGCTCACAAAGGATAAGTCAAACGGTATTTTCCTTTAGGGTTACTGTTGCAAACATATTGCAAACCCACGGGAATGTCCACAAACCCATTCATGCCAAAGATCATCTGTGGTTTTGCATTGAAATTTGCCCATGAGGAAACTTAGTTCTTTTGAACCTGAGTGTTTTCAATTTACAGGGACAAGCAACTTCATGTGAACCCTTTTAGTAAGAAAAAAACCACACCACAGTAGACCTTGAAACTCTTAATAAACAGGCACCATGGAAAATGATAGTGTCTTGGCTAAATATTTACACTATCAATAGCTGCATGTGAGGACAAATCCTTTGCAGGAACACTGTTTGGTCAAGCCTTTGCCTAGCAGTAAGAGAATCGATGGGTGTTTTGGTATGCGAATTTCTCAGTGGGAGAGCTCAGTGATGTCTGCCTAAAATGAACACATACGAGCGTGAGATAACGCCTTGGTTCTGTGCCCATCTCTGACAGATTTGTACTGTGCCTCAGTGCTTCAGAATTTTATATATGGATTCTGATGTGGGACTATTCTGTGGGACTAATGAGAGCTAGAATGAGACTTTTTGGAGTCTTAAATAGCTCTTACACATTCAGCTTCCTTAGAAAGCCTAAATTGGCTAAGAGTATGTAGATTTTTATCCTCTAAAAAAAAGTGGAAGCCTCTGCATAAAACTTTATTCCAGACCGCCTCACTCTAAGGTCTGTTTTTTTAGAGACAGTTTTACCTCTGCGTAGCCACTGGCAAACATTAGTATCCCTAGATGTATATAAAATACACACAAAGATGTGTCAGGTTACATTCAGTGGTACCGCATCTGGTTTTATGCACAAATCAGCAGCGGTGCTGGATCACACAAATAACTCGTTGAGGTGCATCTCCTCACTCCGGCGGTGACTTCTGAGGAAGGTGAACCCGAGGTGAACACCTGAGCTTCCATTTCCAACTTTCATATGGAGAGGAGGAGAAATAATATGCAGCTCTTGAGAATTGAGTTAATTTTAAAAAAAAAAAAGTAATATTACTTCAGGAATGCTCTAGAGCTTATAAAAGTAATCAATTTGCATATAAAATCCTTTAATGTTGATGGGAGCTCCAAGCCTGGAATGAATACGAAATATGCAGTAGTGACACTCTGGACAAAAGATCTGCAGTGCAGGAGTGTTCAAGGGGAACATTTTGTCTTAAGTAATTAATTTGCAGAAGAGATCCCCTGCTGTTGTTCTTGGTACAATGCTCTCTGCATTTAAACATCAATCTAACTTCTGAAAAGTAAAATTTGCAAGTAATATTCTTTTTAATTTTCGAACATTTTACTGGCAATTAAAGGAATCTTAGTTGTATTTCAATATCTTAGGTCTTGGCTTGCTTTGGGAAAATACAAGTTTGTGTGAACAAAAGCTACAAAGACTTGTATTTTTATAGCTAGAGCTTTGTTTTTTTCGTATGTTGGGATTGTAGCGCTGAGAGCTTCAACCCCATTTTTAACCATCTGTGACTATGTCCATGGCTTGTCATAGTCTGCAGGATAATTTGCAGAAATTTGGGCTATAACTGGTTGGACTCTGGCCTTATAGAAACAACCTATTCTCAGTGCTATATATAAAATTGTATATTGTAGAAGTAAAATTAACTGAATATTCATAACGTTCTGTTACTTCGTAGTTATTCTGCTGCTCCTGTTTCCAAATAAAACGTGAACTGTAGTCTAAATTAACTCTAAGAGAAATAACATTTTCACAGTGTATCCTGTAGAGTTCTTCATTGATTTTTAACATGTACCACTCTTCTTCTGAAAGGTTCTTGGCATTTGGGTTGTGTACTATTTCAGAGGTACAGTAATTGATGTAAATCATCATTGAAATTTAGGTGCCCTTTGGTACCAGTAATAAGGAATCAGGATGAGTCTCCTTACTTATCTGTCTAAGATGCACTGAAATGGCTATTGAACTATCAGAGCTCAGCCCTAACTGACTAACACGGGATTCCAGCACCAAATTAAAAAAGAAATCTTTTTAGTATGTGTTGTGGAGTGTTTAAATATTCCATAATAGTTTTCTTTTTCCCTTTAGCCAAACCAACAAGTTTATCACTTCCATTGACACCCGAGTCACCAAAGTAAGTACTAAAAAGTGCAAACATTTATAAAAGGGAGGGGGGTTCAATAGATTTTGGCTACAGCAACTCCATTTCAGCTTGTTTTTATAAATGTGCCCTGTCTTCCAGTGATCCCAAGGGTTCCCCATTTGAGAACAAGAATATTGAACAAACCTTAAGTGTGGAACTCTCTGGAACTGCAGGTGAGAAGTGGGGAGTGCTGGCTCTTCCTTTAAGCATGGCTGGTGTGCGTGTTTGTTCATTTTAATATACCACATGTAGACCGAGATCTCACAGAGGTCTCCAGTAGATTAACTTCAGTGCAGTTCAGCATTGACTTTTTATCCAGTTACCTGAGAAGGAATGTGTTTGAAAATATGGCTCCAAACCTACACAAGAGAGCATAATTTCTGGGAAAATATGAATGAAACCATTTATCTGTTATAGTTCCCTATTTCCCCATAGATTTGTGTGCTGCTGAGCACCATCTTTCAAAGGCAAACCCCACAGCACGTTGTAATAGATGTTACAGATGGAAAAGTTATGTCATCCAGTCTGTCTCCAGGCCGGTCTAGGGCTGTACATGAGTGCATGTTTCGGTGCTTTGTCAATTCTAGATTAATATGTCACAAATAACAGCTTTCTCCTCTACCACTGAAAAACTATTACATAGCTTAGAGGTAATTTTTTAAATTGGTATTCATCTTATATTCTCGCTCTCTCTTTATTTCTTCTGTTAGCACGCTTCACACAACCTCCCTTTATCCTCCCTTTCAGATCCCTGGTGTTTGTACCTTTTGAAGATTTGTAGATTGTTTTATCATGTGCTGATTTAGTTTGTGCATCACCCATTGCACTCATTTAATTCATGTGCTCTTCTTTCCACTAAAGTTAATTCCTTCAGACTCATCTCTTTTATTGCTTTCCTCTGACCTCTGTTTTCCTTCCATTTTCCTGAAGCGTCCAGGACTGAGCACAAGAGCACACGTTGAGCTCCACCTGAGCTATTGCCAGGATTGTTTTCTTTCTCAGTTGTGTAATATAGAAAAGTAAGAGATGTACTTGGAGTGTGTTTCTCTCAGGATAACAGTGGATTTTAAATTTTGTGATCTCTGTGTTTTGGGGGTCATTGCAAATATGTCTTCAGGTACCGTAAATCAGCTTGGTGGCAGCTTTACACAAGAGCAGGCCCAAGCACTAAATTTGTGTATGTACTTCAGGCTTTTACCTCCCAACAACCAGCATTTCACCTTTTCAGAAACTTCTTCATTAGTTCAGCATTGAAACATGCACGCTTTCCTCTGCCATGTCCTGAAAACCTGCAGTCTTAATCATTCCTTTTGCGACAAAAGGAAGCATCCTTCCAGTGCACCTTCTTTTTGCAAAACCAACACAAACACGGCAAAATTCACTGTATGCAGAAGGATAATCCCGTTCAGTGCCAGTAGGCCTGAAGCATGGAGAAGCCTGTTTCGCCGTTACCAGACAGCAAATCTGCATGAGGGTCCCTGTTTGTAAGCACACTGGTGAGCCAGTGCTCGGTGCTGCCAAATGAAAGGGGCAGATGAGGTGACTACGGCGGAGCGGGACAAGCAGCCCTTGAAATCGCTGAAGGGAGCAGTGTTTTCTCCCAGCCAGAAAGTCAGCAGCCTGCTCTGCCCATCAGCTGACTAGACAGAAACTGGGAGTCACTCTGACCCCTGGATAGTCCTCTAGTATTGCTTCCATAATGGCAACAGGAATGGTCTTGGTATTACCAAATCCATTCGACTCCATCAGCTGCTCACAGAGGAGGAAACAAAACTGCTCTGTAGTTGCCTTAGACAATATAACCAGGGGAACTAGCATGTTAAAAAATGCATCAGAAGCTGTGAAAACCGCACAACTGGATGAATACGTGAACAGGAACCTTGTACTATGAAGGCATGATTTTTCTTTCCCTCTGGAAGTAAACAGAGTCTAGCTAGAAAATAAACTGATGATAATCAGGAAGTATAAGAACTGGTGGAGAGTGTGTGGCCAAGGAGTTGGGGCAGTGTTACCAAGCAGCGTACATGACAGTGGCTCTTGGACTTCATGTTGCTCTTGCTCTGGTCTTCACCATGCCTGGTGAGGAGGTTTCAGGAGATTGTATTTCATCACTTGGTAGCTGTATTAATCTCTGCCTTCACATACACATAGATTTTATTTTTATATTCATACATGTATATAAATCTATAAAAAAAAAAAGAGTAGTTGTGAATGTCTTTTTAACTCATTTGTATTGCAGTAGTGTTTTGTGTCATGAGTCTGCTTGTGCTGGAACCAGACAAGTACATAACAGAAACAACCTCAAGTACTGAAGAACTTACAGTGTATGTGAGTAAATCATGGCAGAATTGGGACCCACTTCAGTAAAAAAAAGAAAAAAAAAAGGGGGAAAAAAAGTGGCAGTAGTGATTAATAGTACCTTGGAGTTCTTTAGTGAGACCCTGGCAACTCCAAATTATATCCAGATAACCGCATAGCTCATTGTCCTTATATAGGGCAGCTTGCATTGTACAAGCACTATTTATTATAATTTAAATAGGAGTTGCCTTGATCTCACTGCCGAATTGAAAAGACCATTAGCAGTGCTGCTCGCACTATCGAAGCACAAAGTATTTTAATATAAATAGCAGCTCTCTTGATCTCTGTGCTGAAAACAACATTGGTTCCCTCACTGATGAATTAACTATAGAGTAGGAAAATAAATAAATAAAAGCATTTCCCACATGAGCCATCAATCTTCGTCACACACACATTTTGGATTCATGTGTCTAAAGTCAAACTGAAACTGTTCTCTCGCTGATGCTGTATCTTGCTTTACAATGGATTTGGTAGTAGTTGTGAATGTAACTTTGTCCTCCCTAAAACTGTCAAAACATTGATTTGTCAAATTACAAGGAACAAATATTTTTAAAGTGTTTTCAAGCCACACGTAAGAATTCTTTGAATGCACTTTAAATAAGTGGCCTATGATAGAGGAATAAGTCCATTGCTATCTAAAATCCCAGCTCCTGCAGCTGATTTCTAGTGCTAGTCTAAGGAAAATGGAGCAGAACATCATGATATGGAGGGAGTCCTAGGTGATGATAATGTAGTGGATGACATTTCTGTGTAAGGCGAGTCTCATGCCGAGCAGGAGGCTCACAAGAGGTCCTTCTCCCTTCGTTTCCACAGCTAGCTGCATTGCCAACGCCTTGCTAAGAGGCCATGGGCTTGAACCTCTCTAATGTCTTCCAGGAACATGGGACGTTTTTGTGTCACTGCAAGGCCTCTTTCCTCTTTGTTACCAGTCAGGCTGAGGGGGCATCTGCAGGCACAGGGACTAGGAGGGTGACTGACCCACTGGAGGTGGCTGCGCTTCTCTTGGTGATTGAGGGCTCCGCAACGATTGTCTTAGACTTTCTGCTGAACTTCTAAATGCCAGAAGTTAGATGGCGTGGCTCCTAAGTGTTTGAAATTAAGCGTGCTCTGTTCTTTTGGTGGCTTTTTAAACCTTCACTCCTAAATACTCAAAGCCATCATTTAAGTGCATGAAGTGAGTTTGCAAGGCTGAGTCAGTAACTGGAAGGCTATTTCCACCCTCTTACCTACAACAAGTGATTTGGTGAAAAGTCTCTCATTTGCACACAGATCCCTGTAATTTACCTGAGCATAAAATTCCTCACCGGTCTACCTTGGGTGCAAAATTTTATTTCTCCAAAAAGACGGCAGAAAAGGCTGTATGAACACAGTCAGCTTGCATAGTGATTTGGCATTCATGTGAATCTTTGAGGATACTTACACCCTGCTATTTGCCCACCTCTAGATCTGTGTTACCTCTCAGTTGTCAGAACAAATACTTAAAATCTATCATATAAGAACTTGTTTGACCTCAGAATGATTTCTGATAAAATGAGATGTGAGATGCAGAGAGTTGTCCAGAGGGAATAAAGTCGAGTAAATTATTTGATACTTTCAGGCATCTGTGTTTATTCTCTGCAGCAGTGACAACAGGATTAAACTGAATACTCAACAAGCATGTAGTTTTTTATTATATGATGGCTATTTAATTTTATTGTATTTTCCTGTCTTCTGCAATCTTGTGCCACACAAAAGCTGTTCTAATTCTTGTACTGAATTGAGCTGTTATCTTTTGTTCAGTGTTTTAAGTGGCCTTAAATAATGTTTCCCTTGACAATCCATTTTCAGACTTAAAAGGTATAAAAGAATTCATTTTCAATGCCTCTCAAAAACCCAGTGCACAGGTAGAAAGGTTCCAGGGCTGCGTTCCCCAAAAGATGCTAATTCGCAGCCCCCTCAAAGCGCAGCAAACATCATCAAACAATTAAATGTTACAGTAGATTTTTAGAAAGATCAGTGTCTATGTAAACCAGCATTGCAAATTAGTCCTAAAAAGTCAAGATGTCGCATTTTATGCAAAGGCATGCCCCTAATTTCTGCTTATCAACTTAGCTGAGCTAAATGAGTTCTAAGGGGTTTCTTTAGTGGAGTTTTGGAATGTATCAAAAGTAGTTTCACTCTCCCAGAGACTTCCTTGAAAGAAGGTGCTTGGCCAAGGTGGCAGAGTCGGCACACATGCAAACACGGACACAGGGAGGACGGTGCTGCTTCGGCAGCAGTGCTGGCAAATTGATGTATGCTATTTTCAAGCACAAGATCACCGAGTGAGTTTGTAGTATATAGACAGAGCAAGGCAAAGTGCAAACATACCATTTACTGAATCCATTCAATTAAAGAAAAGTCCCTACAAAGAAAATGGTTTTATAGCATGTCATGAAAAAATACTTGCCTTTTACTTTAAAAAGAAAAAAGACTGTTTAAGGAGGATGATTGTAGAGTATGTACCACTTCTAACAGATTTGCTGTGCAGAAGTACATAAGTGTGAGTGATGTAGAGGTACTTGTTTATTATAGAGCACATTTCAATGCAGTAATCATAAATATTGCTAAGGTTGTGCTCTGTTGAAATATGACCTACATACTCTTGATTGTTTGTGTTACGTGATTTGTCTGACACCCATTACATTCTGGGTAATGGCAGCCATTTGTTGCTGTGCACAGCAGGCTCTTTTGACAAAAGAAAATAGGCAGCAATAAAAAAGCTATAGTCTGAATTACATTCTGCACAGCGCTGCACTGCTGAGAGTTTGTGCAAGTGTGTTAACAATGCTCTGAACTGCCTCTTGTCAGCCTTCAGCCCGTAATGGCCATCTGTCCTTCCATAAATCTGTCAAAACCTGCTAAGTTCAAGAGAGAGCACAGAATATACCTTGTACTGTCAACGCTAAAATGTACACATTGGCGGAGAAATCGGCGCGTATGAAATAATCCAACGGCTATAGAATATTGTAACGCCGTTGATGTGGGATCATGGCCCTCAGCAAAGATTTCCAGGGATTAGTGTGAGGATGAGCAAGTGTGCAGCCAACTGGTTTTCTCAAGGTTCAAGGTTTGGGGATTCGTCATGGGACACGCTGAAGGCGGACTCCATCGCGGTGACATGAATTCAAAACTTCACTCCCTCCTCCATCCCCCAATGGAGGTTTGTTCAAAAGTTAAATGAACATTTTCCAACTTTTATCTGTTTCTACTTGTCTGTGCACTTCCTGCTTCTGCTGAAAACCAGGAAAAAAGCCAAAATGCCACGAGGAAGCCCTTTCTTAGGCTGTCCCCAGCACAGTTCTGCCAGCAAGAGAAGTGCCAGTAAATGTAGCTCAGTCTGTACTTTAGCTAGGGTTTTTTTGGTAGGGTTTTTTTTTCCCCTCCTAAAGAGCGTTGGACTCCTTGTCAGGCTTCTGGAAATCGTTGTGCTCTGTGTTTAGCTTGCTTCCTGCCAGGGCTAGCTTTAAAGAAGTGGAAGCAATATTTTATTTTGAATATTGGATTATCTCTGAGGTTTCTTTGCCTGAAATTCTTAACTATGCATGTTCATTGTGGAGTGGTTGTATTTCTGCTTTATTCTTCCTTTAAAACTATATCCAAAAAATAAGTAACTAGCCCCAGAGCTTCTCATGGGCTCTGTAATTTCATGAGTAAAAGTGGCAGTTGTAAATTTTTTATCTAGAAAACAGTCTTTGCGTACTCAAATCTTTGTTGAATCTGAGCCTGAAGTTTTAGCCCGGAAATTCCTATTGCAAAATTTTGAAGAGGACTGTTCGCTTCATTTTACCAAAAATTCATTTGGTAATCAAAAATATTTGTTAGCAACAGGGGTGGATAAGGTGTGAAATGCATGCTGCTGACTCAAGAGAATTTTTGGGAAGGAAGAAAAAATTGAGGACTCAAGGGAAGTAGTTTAACAGTGATGACTTTGCACAAAAATTTTTCACTATTAAGTTCAAATTTGAGTTAACTAGAGTTTTAGATGTCATTATCTTTGCCTCAGTTTCCCTGACTTTTATGGCATTAGGCAAAGTCTTCACATAGCCACGGGTAGCTCATAACCATTTTTTCCAAACGTTCAGACAAAATCAAGCTTCTCTCTCACATCAAGTATTCATGCCTTGGTACTCCTATCTTCTTTTTTTTTCTGGAACAAATTCATTGCAGCTAATGCAAAGGGACTCCCAGTCTCCATTTATGCTCCTTAGGGAGCTCTATGCATTGATGGACGCTTTTTCTTCTTTACAGCAAAACACTGTAAAACATGTTCCATTTGCATTGATCTGCTGAGTTCTGTTGCATAGTTAAAAATACAAAACAAAACCCTATAGCCATGTTTGAAATACACATTTCCTGTAAGTGTGTCTGCCCTCTCCTTTTATTCTTGCAAAGGATGTAATGGAAAGCTCATTGCTTGGGCTAGAAGAAGAAATCTTGGGCAGCATCAGCCTCTGGACCACTTAAGGATGACCTGGATTATCTAGGAGAACTCCCTAATCTCTGTCTAATTTGTTTAATTTCAAGCATATATACTTCTAAGTTACATTACGGTCAGTTGGGCGGATACAAATTTTTCAAGCATAACATACTAAGTACCTTCCGGAAGAGTAATTATTTCCTAACAGTGGTTGCAGTTTGCTGTTACTCTGCCCTGGTGTCCTGGGTTATCCTTCTGTAAAGTTTGAAGAAATTCTATGAATTTCTACAGAAAATATGGAGAGTTATATTGTACCCATATAGAAATAATGGGAAGATGCAGCATTGGTTCCCAGGTTTTACTGGCTGTAGTCTTTCTTGTAATTTTGTCTCACTATAGTGATATAATTTATTACAGTTATGTGAACAATCCTGGTAGTTAGTGGTATCTTTAGTCTTTGAATACTTGTTTCATTTCAACTACCTTCCTCATGACTCTCACTAGTATTTAGTTTTAATGCAATGGTTCATTACAGTGGCATTTGTCCTATTGTTCACTTGGGTTTCAGTTGTAGGACCACATTTCAGGCAAAATGTATTTTGTTATGCTTACAAGAATGTATTATACCTACATTAGCAATGGTTTACTAAGTTAATGAACTGTGGAGACCCGGAGTCATTGCAGTCGAGTTGTAGAGTTGCTGTACTTCCTTGCATTCAAGTTCTGCGTCCTACCAAGGTTCCTTTGGTAGCACTCATTTATTTTTCTCAGCCTTGCTTCTATTTGGGTTTTTGTCTGCTAATTTCTTTAGGTTTTTGACAGTGCCAGTCTTTTGGCTTTTGATTTTCGTATCAAAATCTTTTTGATTTTTAACAAAAAAAAAGTCTTTTGGTTTTTTATCTCTTGATCTTTTCTATCAAAATCTACAGAGAGAGGGGCGGATGTCGTGGAAGAAGGGGAGGGGCAGAAATGATGCTGAAGATTAATGGCAATGCATTAGTACTGTTGCTATTGTTGTTACCAGACCTTTGGTGTCTCACACCCTAAATACTCCTCAGTATTATTAGTGTTAAATTAAAGTGACATAGAATGGGTCTTGCTTTGTATCTGTTTTAAAGAATTCCATGAGCTGCCTTTATAAACGTTGTATGTGTGCTTAAAAATATTCTGTTCCTCCTTTTTTTCCCCTTAGGCCTAACTCCACCTACGACCCCTCCTCATAAAGCCAACCAGGATAATCCTTTCAGGACTTCACCTAAGCCGAAGTCATCATGCAAGACTGTTGTACCACCTTCAAAAAAGCCCCGCTATAGTGAGTCTTCTGGTTCTCAAGGAAATAACCCAATCAAGAAGGGTCCAGAACAGTCTGAGCTGTACGCACAGCTTAGCAAGACTACAGTACTGTCCAGTGGGCATGAGGAGAGAAAGACAAAACGGCCCAGTTTGCGGCTGTTTGGTGACCATGACTACTGTCAATCTGTGAATTCAAAATCGGAAATACACATTAAAATATCCCAGGAACTTCAGGACTCCAGACAACTAGAATTTAAGGATTCTTCACCTGGGTGGCAGTGTCAGATTTGTTCTTCTTTAGAACAAGACCAGTATTTCAAGAAAGAGACTTTACAGACAAGTAAGCAGGGATCCCACGGTAATAACAGAAAACAGCTCCAAGACCAGGAAATTCGGGCTGAACTGAATAAGCATTTTGGTCACCCCAGCCAAGCTGTTTTTGATGAAGAAGCAGATAAGAGCAGAGAACTAAGGGACAGTGATTACAGTAATGAACAATTCTCCAAACTACCTATGTTTATAAATTCAGGACTAGCAATGGATGGTCTCTTTGATGACAGTGAAGATGAAAGTGATAAACTATGCTACCCTTGGGATGGGACACAAGCCTATTCATTATTTGATGTATCGCCTTCTTGCTCTTCTTTTAACTCTCCGTGCAGAGATTCAGTGTCTCCACCCAAATCCTTATTTTCTCAAAGATCCCAAAGGACACGCTCTAGATCAAGGTCCTTTCCTCAACGCAGGTCTTGTTCCCGTTCTCCATATTCCCGATCGAGATCAAGGTCGCCCTGTAGTAGATCCTCTTCAAGGTACGGTACAGCAAATTCATGTATCATGATTATGGTTTATAAGAAGGAAAACAGCAGGAACATAAACAACTTAGAGGAAAGAAGAAAAAAACCCACAAGAAATAACTTAATCCAATGGACTCGTTCTGTTGCTCCTGAGCTGATTAACTCTGAGGGTTACGGGTTTGCTACAGAAAAACTTGTTGCCATTATCCTTTAAATTTGCCAAGTTTACACTTTCTGAGTGGAGCCAGTCAGGTCAGCAGCAGGGCAATTGGTGAGAGATGTACACAGCTAACCTTTCCCATTATCTGTGGGCTGCCCGGTGCCAATCTAGCCACAGTCCCTATCTGATGAAGTTGACAGTGGCTGACTCTCTGCTCTGTGCTAGCCTGTATAAGGAACTTACAGAAGGGCAGATGGGGGGAAATCACTTGAGGCCCCTTAGTTGACTAGGGGATCGCAAACTGTCACTGGAAAATCTCACTGGTAGCTTAGAAGAAATTGTAAGTTCAGGGAAGAGGTAGAAAAAGGTGTCAATAGATTCAAACTGAGTGACAGAGATGAATGTGTTTCTTCCTACAGATCTTGTTGCTATTATGAGTCCAGCCACTGTAGACACCGAGCATACAGAAGTTCTCCCTTACGTGCAAGATCGCGATCCAGATCACCGTACAGTCGCAGACCCAGGTAGTGCATTTTGCCTGCATTTGGGTTGCTTTGCAGCTGGTTCTCAAGAGATAATGAAGCATTCCAGAAATTGTATTACTAATTTTACATTCACAAATGCAGGTGCTTGATTTAATGACTAAGTTATGTTTCCTAGATATGACAGCTATGAGGAATATCAGCATGAAAGGCTGAAGAGGGAAGAATACCGCAAAGAGTATGAAAAACGGGAATCTGAAAGGGCCAAACAAAGGGAGAGACAGAGGCAGAAAGCAATTGTAAGCACTGTGAAGATAACTTTCATTTTGAAATAGATTTCTGTTTCTTTTCGTAGATTTCTGAAGTTAGAACTCAGACTTTATTTTCTTTCTTTTCTATAAAAGAAAAAAATACCAAAAATCTGCTTATCTGTATTTCTTAGCATTTTAAATTTTAGGCAAATATGTGTTTTCATAACAACTTGTGTTTTGATGTTACAATACTAATTTTTCAGGTTCTATAAATTGCAACTCTCCAAATTTTTTTACAGTCAACAGATACAAAGGTCTCTGCTAGAAAAAGGTTTCACCCCAGACAACAGACAACTAATAGTGGACCAGTCTATTTCTTATACAGATCTATTGATGAACCTGCATTTTATAGTATATGTCACCTACCAGAGTGCCAGTAATCGATGTCTACTTTCTATATTTCTGGTTTTTTGCATAAGTAATATAAGGAGGGAGTCAGCTTACATGCCGATTGCTGGACTTCCATAATAATTATCTATATAGAGGGTGCAGATAACAGGATTCAATATTAGGATCCAAAGGCATGAGTTTAATTTTTTTTTTTCCTGATGGTTAATTTTTAAGTTATTTTTAGCAAAATAAATAGTCTGAAGACATAATGCAATTTTAAAATGTCACTTAACACTGGCCCTTTCATAATGAATATGTATTATTTAATTATTGTGTTCATCAATGTTCGGTGTGAAACAACTGAAATACCTGAGGCGAAGGAAATACCCATGTGGGGATGAGTAACTCTCTTGGCTGTTGTAACAGTAGGACAGAAGAATGGCTATTAAACGGACAGGTGGCTTTTGCCCCTTTTTAGTTCCCCACTGGCAACTGCGTGATGGTTTTCATAAATTAAATTGGGGGCTGCTGTGAATCTGGACTCTTCTTGTAGTTGCCTAGCACATTTGGTGGCCCACCTTAACATTTTCCACTTGGTTTTCTGTGTCCTGCTCTTTCTGTTCAGTTGTACCTTGACTGCTATTCCAGCTTTGCTCTGGCTCTTGCATGAACTGGTGCAGACTGGGACGCTTCATTTCCAGATTTTTCCCTTAGTGCTCTGTCCAGGGCTCACCAAAGTGAATTGGACTTTTTTCCAGTGCCTCTAGTGGACTTCGTAGTAAAAGGTGATTTGTCACACACTTGGCAGCATTTCTCCTAATACACCTGCAAAACTGGGAGTCTGTAGAGATTGACAGAGACTGGGTAGACTACAGCAACGAGTGGTTCTGGGAGGGAATACACACCTTTATTTTCTGATTTTTGTCTCTGTTACTGTTGTCCTTAGTAAGCTTCATCAAATCATTTTGCTTTTCCCTGCTTCAGGTGCCCTATCTACAAAGTGTGGGTGATAGGTCTATTTTGTAAAGCATGAGATTTAGAGCTATGACATGCTCTTCCACGCTGATCTGAAACTCAGTGAAGGCAATAGAATGATTTTGCTTGGCTTCAGACAGGGCTATATTAAGACAATTGTCACAGTTAGTTTTAAAATATCTGGCTTCCATCTGCTTAGAGATGAATGCTACCTTCCAGCAATCATAACTTACACTGGCTGTTCTCTCTTAGATGTAACACAAATTAGAGATTCAATAGGCCTCTGTCATGGGTGTGTCTTGCTACTTCTCAATTACTGTACCTTACTGGTATAAATAAATGAGTCCTGCTGAGGCAGTAGAAAATTTGATTTGGTTTAAAATAAACAAATATTTGGCAAGTAGCTAATCAAGAGAAAAGGGAAAAGGAAAGAAAAGAAACTTAGAAAGCTCCAGATATGCTGTTGTAACTTCCTATGTTAAAAATTTTATACGTTTCAAAATCAAGGTTGAATGTATTTTCTTTCTAAAGTGAGCATTGTCATTATAATAAACTTCATTAATGAAATTATTTATTAATAAACATAAATAAATCAGAACTAAGAAATAAATATCAATAAACAGAACATGGCAAAAACTTAAAATCCAGACACCTGTGTGAGAGCTGCAGGAGATGTAGATGAAATCCTATTAACCCCTTTATCCAAAGTCTGTCAGCACTTTTACGTTAAAAATGTGTATTGAATCATGCCAGTATATTCCCTGTGCAAATAAGTAGGGGTTAAGGGACAGCAGAGAAAGGCAAAGCCCTGACCCCATGAAGTCAGTGATAAAATTTGTATTATTTCTAGCATTCTCTGCTCTTTCTTACTCCTTTTGTCTTGTGGGTCTCTTCTGTGTTGCTCTTTTCTTTCTTGAGGGACTCAACTCATTTATTGTTCAGCCACAAGAATCTCCTCTCTCTCTCCTTGAACTCTTTCTACAGTCCCATAAATTCAGATTTCTTTGCTCTCTGCATTGGGGAATTTTTTATTTCCTTTCTAGCCCATTCTCATGCTGCCAGAACTGATTCATGGCCACATACCTCTAGATGCTGTTAAAAGAGTGGTCCAAAGATAGGGCAGTACTAATGCCTCCGGTGTTACACAGGGCAGGTAGCTTTTCTTCATGAGAAGCACCGTGCTATGATCTCAGTTGTAGAAAGGATGCACAGTGGAAAGGGAACAGAAGTTATGACTGAGCTAAGAGCCATCAGGTATTATTGGTTCAATATCTAGAATTAGTCTTCATGTGACAACAAGAATGGGAAACCTCAGAAAAAGAAATGAGAAAAAAATTCACATATTTTAATCTGTCAAAACCATATGTGCAGCAATGGCCTCTGATTGCGCAGGCAGCTTGTATTTTGGCAGACGTGAAGGCATATTGGCAGAATGCTGAGGAGGCTTGTTTTAGAAGCCTGTGCTCATGCTATGTGGCAGAGGCGTGTTTAAATGGCTGCCCCTTCAGCCTTGCACGCAACACCTTCGCTGCAGTAGCTTCAGATCAGCGGGAACCCTGGGCTAGCATTTCCCTGTATGGATTCCTGAATTCCTATCTAGACTTACAGCTATATGCAGGTGGCATGACTTCAAAAGGAACTTTGATATTCTTCTCCTCTTCCTTTTCTTCTTTTCCCCTCTCCAGTTACTGGAGATTCAGTGTCTTTTTTTGTGGATTAGGGTCTTAATTTTGAGCAGTCATGCTTGAAAAATATGGGCTAAGCCCACAAGTTTGTTTCTGGTTAGAGAGTAAGAAAAATATTTTTGTCATTCCTTCATTCATTTATTTATACTTTTGATCGTGATGCCTTTGCTAACTGAGCAAATGTTAGCACAGTTTAGTTTGATCTTGACTTGATTTAGTTCACTGGGTCCCCATTTTGTTTTAGAATGGGTCCTCATTGAACATAAGGATGGCCTGCCACCCAAATTTGCTTAACTTTGTAATGCTAACCAGATCGTAGTGGAGACACATCCATTATGAAACTTGAGGAGCAACTGCGTGACAGGATGGTCTACTTAGGGCTTTGTAGAAATTGGGATCCAACCCCCAACCAAGGCAGATCACAGTGATTTGCCAAGAAGACTGAGGACCCATTTTTTCTTCTGACACACCCCCAGGAAATTTCTGAGTTAGCGGGTGTTTACTCCAGCAGCTCATGAGACCATGTGGCAAATGCTTTCCAAGGCATGGTGTCAGAAATCCAGTTAGCACATTTCGATCCTTGAGTCACCAGTTCGTGGTTCCCCATTGACACGGTGCAGCAGGGCAGGCAGGTTAAACTGACGGGCAGCCTGGTGTTCTGGATCTCTGCTGCTCTGGCCACAACACTGACTTAGTCACATCCTCTCTGCACCTTATTTACTGCGTGCCCTGGCTGCTGCCAGGAGGTATAACAAAATCAGCTTCTATACCGGAGTAGAAAATTACTGTTAACATTAGTACTTTTCATGTCTAAGTGCTGAGAATCTCCATGAGACTTGACAAGTATCAAGAGTCCCTGTCCCAGGGAGCTTACAGACGTAAGAAGATAGCTGCACTGTGAGGCCACTGCAGTGGAAAGAAACACATGGTTTCAAAGAAAATAAATTGCTCTGCAACAGGAAGGCAGGAGAAAGGTGGTTTCATAAATGAGTGCGTGGCTTCTCTAAAGTCTAAAACCAGAGTCAGCCTATAATGGAGTGCATTTCCACTAATGAAGGATCCAATGTACGTTGTATATTTAGTTTGGATTTTTTTGCTGTTGCTCATCTTGATGGCCTTGATCCCAGGCTCTCTAACTTTGCTTTAGGAGTTGCTGAAAATGTTTCAAATGGATTACCTAAATCTTGAGGTTTACTGGTCCATCATTATTTTTCTAGCAGTCACCGTGGAGTGTGGCTGAACTGTTACAGTCCTCAGTTAGCCACACAGCAGCACTGGACAATTCTGTGCAATGTTCTTTCTTTTTTTCCCAGTCTTCATGATTCTTCCTTTGCCATTCATACTTGCCCACAGGTCATACTTATTCTTCTTTAATACAGAATCTAAAGAAAAATTTTCTTATTATTGTGGCTTTTTCCATCCATACCATTTCTGTTTTTTAAACTCTGTCCAGCCATTCCCACTGCACTTTCAAAATAGTATTTGGCCTCCAGCTCTAAGGATAAAAGTCTTTGTGGCTTTCTACTGGAAGAGGAGAGAAGTCAGTTGGCATGGAAGGCAACACAGGCACGGGGCCTGCACCCAGCCAGCCACCCGTGCTGGAGGAAGCAGCAGAGCCTTTGACAAGCCCATGGCAGACCCCAACTTAAAAATGCCTCTGGATTTCTTCTCTCAGCTTCACTTAAAGCATTACCTGGCTCTTGGAGAACCAGGTATGCACCACAGATGTGCAGACAAAAAGCAGTAGGGAAAAAGGGGACAGCAGCACTATGTGGTGTTACCTCTGGAGTGGCTGCCTTCAGTTCCCACAGACCCTGCTTAGCAGCACCATGGGCAGGCAAAGTGTGGGTGAAGAAGCCTAAGACAAAAAAACATGCAAAAACTAGTACATCGAATGGTCTGTGCTTTAGTTCCTTGTGAAATAAAGGATTAAGAATGAGGAAGGGAAAACAAAATAGAGTTCTGGAGGAAGCCTTTGCAAGATGAAAAGATCCCTAGCATCAGTGAATGCTTTGCAGGATGAGTGGTCCTTTTAGTGAGCCTTAGATGTGTAAAGTATATCCTGGTCCTGTTTTCTCAAGTCCTGTCATTCTAATGCTTTAGTATTTTCATTTGAGACTTGAAATACTGCGTTTCAGTCGGAGATTTTCTGCCACATCTGCATATTCAAATTTTTTTATTGCAAGGAAGAAAGAGCAAGATTATGAAGGAGGAGCTTTAGATAAACCAGGAGACAGGCATGTTGGGCCTGAGGGAGTTGGCTGGACTCTTCTTTCTTCCTTTTTTTACTTGGCAAAGCAATGTACTACACTTAAAGCTTATGATGCAAAATAAATCATCTGCACTTTTGGGAGGGAAATATGAACAGTATCTTCTGGAGTTTCCTGCAGGTTCCCTCTGCCCACATTAAATTGAAAACAAAAGCTTTTCTCTTCCCTTCTCTGGGTTTCCAAGTCATATATCATCTCCTCTAACAAGTGCAGTAAAAAGCATACTTAATATGCACATACGGACTTAGGCATGTAACTTATTATAAAATAAAGGTCTTTAACATTTAGAGGTATGTTGTAATCTTATTAAGCTTGTATAGTTCTTATTATTAATGCGAATAGAAGGCAGGTGTCTCTGTGAATACAAATACATCCTTCATAGTTGCTTTAAATAAACCAAAGTTAGCCAAGGCAAAGAAAATGCTGTATGAATCCTGTGGTCTCCAGTATCTTATACCATCATGGCACTCTGCTTAAAAAAAATACTTGAACACATCTCCTCATGCGTGCACACTGGAGGACATATGGTGTATTTCAGCTTTAAATTTGAATTTCCTTAATTTTGCCGGTTTAACTTATTCCCTTAATGATAGTTTAACAGGCTTTTTTTTAATTGTTCACTTTTGTTTTATTACAGTTGTCTTAAAGGGATATTAGAGTTATAAAGGTTATTAGAGGGATAGAAGAAGGAAAAATTGTGCAGGCATGCACACAGGCTTTCGGAA